GAGACAAGACCAGTCACCCTGCACAAGGAGAGAGAGAGCAGCAGTGACCGGTCTTTATTGCAGGAGGGGGCGGAGACAAGACCAGTCACCCTGCACAAGGAGAGAGAGGGCAGCAGTGGCCGGTCTTTATTGCAGGAGGGGGCGGAGAAAAGACCGGTCACCCTGCACAAGGAGAGAGCAGCAGTGACCGGTCTTTATTACAGAAGGGGCGGAGACAAGACCGGTCACCCTGCACAAAGAGAGAGCAGCAGTGACCAGTCTTTATTACAGAAGGAGGCGGAGAGAAGACCGGTCACCCTTACACAAGGAGAGAGAGCAGCAGTGGCCGGTCTTTATTGCAGGAGGGGGCGGAGACAAGACCAGTCACCCTGCACAAGGAGAGGGAGCGGCAGTGACAAGTCTTTATTACAGGAGGGGCGGAGACAAGACCAGTCACCCTGCACAAGGATAGGGCGGAGACAAGACCAGTCACCCTGCACAAGGAGAGGGAGCGGCAGTGACCGGTCTTTATTGCAGGAGGGGGCGGAGACAAGACCAGTCACCCTGCACCCCAGAAGAAATACACAAAGCTCACCAAGATTCCAGAAGAAGAGACATGACATAGACGGTAGTGGTTTTTTTGATACATTGGCTGCCTGACTCCAGAGATCCGTCCCAGCCCGACATAAAAAATAACATTAGGATGATACGACACCGACAGGGGGCGAGGCTTCGGCCAGCAGGGGGCGGGGTTTGGGGAATGCCTTACCCCAGCAAGAGGTACGGCATGTCACTGCAATGCACATGCTGGCAACTTTTAACACCATTAATTTTGTGTTAATAAACAAAACAAAAGTTATTAGCAACGGAATCTCCTCATTGCAAAAAAAGGCAGCATTTTCTCCGGTCGTGAAGATAAAGAAAAAAAAAGATTCTGGAACTCTGCCACTAATAAAAATGGCAGCCTTCCCGCATGACTAGAAGGCTTCCGTGTTTGTGCTATTACCCCATGTCCTATCGCGCCTCAGAAGGAAGATCACATGACACATCACACAAGTCCTATCGAGCCTGAGAAGGAAGATCACATGACACATATCGCCCATGTCCCGTCGCGTCTCAGAAGGAAGATCACTGACACATCACCCATGTCCTATCGCGCTTCAGAAGGAAGATCACATGACACATCACTCACGTCCCATCGAGCCTCAGAAGGAAGATCACATGACACATCACTCATGTCCTATCGATCATCAGAAGGAAGATCACATGACACATCACCCATGTCCTATCGCGCCTCAGAAGGAAGATCACATGACACATGACCCATGTCCTATCGCGCCTCAGAATCACATGACACTTGTTTACCTTCAGCTCTAAAGTAGACGGACGGTGAGAGATTTCGTAACGAATACAAATGGATATCTCTGGCCGTTGCATTGTCCTCATCGCGGCTCTGGGGCTGGTGAGCTGTTTCCCCCCGGGGCACTGGCAGGAGGTGTCCTCAGAAGCGCCGGAGATCCAGACCTTGGCGGAGATCGCGGTGCGGGAATATAATCGTCTGAGTGACCAGGATGTTGCTTACATACAGCTGCGGGTCACCGATGTCAGGAAGCAGCTGGTCTCGGGGGTCAAGTATGACTTTAATATCTTACTGGGAAGGACAATGTGTAAGAAGGACGGAGAAGAGACCCCTGGTGATTGTCGGCTTCATGCTGCAGCTCCAGTGAAGGGAGTGAAGTGCAGCTTTTCAGTGTTGCTGGTCCAATGGCTCAATGAGATGAAAGTCTTGCATCAGTTATGCTCACGAGAAGTATCTTTGGATTGGATAAAAGACGCGGCAGAGTCGCCATCTTCAAATCGGAGTGCGCTGTCGTCCGAAACGGAGGACGAGCTGCTCGAGACAATGTCGTTGTTTAAGAAGTTTGTGACGACTTACAATAAAACGTATCAAAGCGATGGAGAGGCTTCGAGGCGTCTGAGCATCTTCGCCGAAAACCTCAAGAAGGCCAAAGACATACAGGACAGAGACCAGGGGACGGCGGAATACGGCGTCACTAAATTCAGCGACCTCACGGAGGAAGAATTCCGGACTCTCTACCTGAACCCCTTGCTCTCCGGTAAGGAACATCGGATGGCGGGCAGGGCTGCGGTTCCGAAAGACCCTCCCCCCGCTCAGTGGGACTGGAGAGATCGCGGCGCCGTAACCGAGGTCAAGAACCAGGGCATGTGCGGCTCCTGCTGGGCTTTCTCCGCCATCGGGAACATCGAAGGGCAGTGGTTCCTGAAGAAAGGCGCGCTCGTTTCTTTGTCCGAGCAAGAGCTGGTGGATTGCGACGGCGTGGATCAAGCGTGCGGGGGAGGCCTTCCGTCGAGCGCCTACGAAGCCATCGAGAAGCTGGGCGGGGTGGAGACGGAACAAGATTACGCTTACCGGGGACAGAAGCAGCGCTGCAGCTTCTCCGCCGGCAAAGTCTCGGCTTACATCAACAGCTCCGCGGAGATTCCGAAGGACGAGGCGCAGATGGCGGCCTGGCTGGCGCAGAACGGACCGATATCCGTCGCGCTGAATGCGTTCGCTATGCAGTTTTACCGCAAAGGGGTTTCTCACCCGTTCATGCTGTTGTGCAGTCCCTGGTTCATTGACCACGCCGTGCTTCTAGTGGGCTACGGAAACCGTAACGGGGTCCCTTTCTGGGCAATCAAGAATAGCTGGGGGACGGACTGGGGGGAACGGGGCTATTACTATCTGTACCGAGGCGCCGGAGCTTGCGGCGTGAATCAAATGTGCAGCTCGGCCATTGTAAATTAGACTCCGCCCCGGAGATCTTCCGGTCTCCGCTTTTAAAAATAATTGCCCCGCCCCGACGGGGCATAGAAGTTTTATATAGAGAAGAATTTATATAGTTATTTCTAGGGATGTCCCGATACCACTACCAAGACCAAGTACCTCATGTACTCGCCGATACCAATTACCGATACTTTATCTTAAAGGGACAGGTGACATTTTTTTCTAAAACAACACAGACTGATGATTTTAAAGGAGAACTATGAGGGGGGGGGATCGGCTCAGTAGATCGGGAGGTGAGCGAACACATACCGGCTCTCTGCCGTGACAGGGGAGGGGCTGGATTCTCCCCGCTCCGATCCACCAGCGCTGACTGGCGGAACGGACGGGGGATGGGGCGGGTACAGCTGGCTCTGCCTCTAGATAGGTAGAGCCAGCTGTCACTCACGCAGCTGGGCGGATGCCGGCACAATTGTCGGGATCCGCTCCGGCAGCGGCGTCTCAGTATATAGGGAGCTCTAGCTCCCTATATACTGAGCCTGGGAGGAGTCTAGTTTGTGCCCTCCCGTTACCCTAAGGAGAACTATGGGGAAAAGCCCTGATCCCCCCATAGTTCTCCTTTTAAGGCAGTTTCTCACCAGGGCTAAGTACGGATGTCACCAGAACTGAATACATGTCACCACAGCAGAACACATATCCCTAAGGCAGAATAGTATTCTGCTTTGGGGACATGTATTCTGCTTTGGGGACATGTGTTGTGCGAATGCATGTCCCCGAAGCAGAATTCCTCTCCCCAGGCTGCGTGTCGATCTCACCCGGGCGACGTGGACATCTGCAGTGGCTCTGCGGGCACTCCACCTGACCGACGATGCCAGGACCCGGCCTCCCCCATGTCCAGACTGTCGATGCTGCCACGTCCAGTCCAGCCAACTATCTGCGCTGCTGGGCCCCCGCGACTTTCATCCATCTCCCGGCCCAGTCCTCCCCTGTCAGTGTGCGGCGGGAACCCCCAGCTTCCAGCCCTGGGGCGGTAGTTCTGCCCCTGGGGCTGTCCATGGCTGTGGCGGGAAGGAGGAGGAGGTGATAAAGAACGAGACAGGCACAGCCATGGACAGCTATCTGCAGG